AAGCACATTTGATCCTTTTAGTTTTCTCGGGCTTAAATGAGATTGAAAATGTGTCACAGGAATTCGGTCTTGCTTTTCCCCCACTTTGATCATGTCTTAGACCATAACTGAAAGAATCTAACAGGAGAATGATGAATACTATTAACTTATAAACTATGAAATCACTTATTTTCATGTGGTCAAATTTTCAAAGTTTGGAGAAAAATTTTGGTACAAGGAGAATTGATCTCATGGTTGGGGAAATGTTGAGTAGTTACATATATGAAATTTTACGTATCGTGGTGGACATGAATTTGTGGGTCTCTTCATACCTCAAAGAACAATGAAAATTAAACCCCCATGAAAATCTGTGATTTCAATGTATATTAAAGGGAATTGTTTTGAAAAGATCATAGATTCTTGATTCTTTCATATTTTTAAGTTAGACAAATTCTGCCAAAAAAAAAACTATGACATGACATTTTTTTATAAATAAATGTTCTTAATCATTTGATTCAAACTTATTTCCTAATATTTTATTCTTACAAGAATTTGTGGCCGATTAGAGATGGAATTTGTTATTGATTTTATTTCACTCTAGGATTTTGATGATTGGCCATTCTAATCCCCTTCCACCTACTTTAACTCATATGGACAAGATCCAAAACGGTCATATCAGCAATAATGAAAGTTAGCTAGAGCACAATCCAAAGTCGAACTTAATTTCATTTTTTCATGTGACATAGTTTGTTTGTTTGTTTGTTTTTTTTTTTCATTTGTTTCTTCTTTTAATTTGTTAAGCATTCTTTTCCTTGTTATTTGTCTATATTTCTTGTATAAACAAAAAATTAGCTTTCTTCCCTCTGCATCACATGGTGAGGAGGAGTGGGGGATCTGTTTATTTTAAAACTTTTCAGATAATTTAGAATACCAAGGTATTTGTGTGCTTCTCATCCCTTTGAAAACATTTCACTTGATCACACAGAGATGCCACCAGTTGCTGATGGAAGACTATTATAGACCTGTCCATGGCACTTACACTACAGCCATTGAACAGTGAGGGAACTTTTTGTGCCATCACTTACTGAAACACAGGACTGGTCTCCATATCCTGTATTGGGGTCACCTTCTTACTCTGTAACTCTAGAGTGTAACTCTCTCTCTAACCACTGCGCCATGTTGGCAAAGTTGTATCATGAGCTTGATGTTTTAACCTAAGCGCTGGGTATTGGCTAGAGATATCATATTGCAATATTTTTAAATGTACTGCAATATGTATTGCAATATTTTCAACAAAATTTAATGGTATTTTCTTATTATATTAACTTCCTCTTACATGTAGAATGTACATAACTATGATAAATAACCAATAAAAGATATCTTGTTGATAGAATTACAGTTATGCTACTAAATACACCCATACAACAACTTTTGTCTTACCGTTTGGCAATGTTTGACAACTTTTCTTTATATTTTATGATAGAATTCCTTAGTCCAAGCATTTTGCTGGGATATCAGTATTACAAAAACATATTGCAATATGATATTTTTTGTCAACATACTGCAATATACCTGAATATCGGTATTATTGTCCAGTCCTAACCTTTTAATTGGAATATGCCTCTATTCACTTTATTTAAAGTCCAATACAGAATCCATTACAGTAATTATTATTTTGTAATTAAATCAAACTGTGGAATGTCCACATTCCATCTTTAGGTGTTTCATAATTTTGATTGACCATCTTTTGGGTTCACACTACAAGTTAACATTTTTACATATAGTTTTCATACTGTTTAACGCTTTGGAATGAATGAAATGCTTGGCCCTATACAGATATACAAACCTTGTACAACACACCATTTGACTTTCTTATACAGTTATTATACAGTGATTCTTGTACATGGTGCACTAGCTATAACAGGCCTTCAGTGCTCTCAATTTTACACCTTTTTTGTGTGAAAAATTTAGTCAAGCAAACAGTAAGACAGACTTATCTCTCAAGTTTCCAAATCTAGAAATGAGAACTAGCCAAGCAAAGAGAACAATACATGGTGAATCCATTGTGCTGTGCCATCGGCAAGTAGAGATAATGAAAAGTCATGGTGAAAGTGATTTTCTCAGACAAACACCCAGGGAGATTGATAAAAAATAAATGCTGTTTGTTCTTGACTCTATTTGGTCAGAGTAAAGCACATTTGATCCTTTTAGTTTTCTCGGGCTTAAATGAGATTGAAAATGTGTCACAGGAATTCGGTCTTGCTTTTCCCCCACTTTGATCATGTCTTAGACCATAACTGAAAGAATCTAACAGGAGAATGATGAATACTATTAACTTATAAACTATGAAATCACTTATTTTCATGTGGTCAAATTTTCAAAGTTTGGAGAAAAATTTTGGTACAAGGAGAATTGATCTCATGGTTGGGGAAATGTTGAGTAGTTACATATATGAAATTTTACGTATCGTGGTGGACATGAATTTGTGGGTCTCTTCATACCTCAAAGAACAATGAAAATTAAACCCCCATGAAAATCTGTGATTTCAATGTATATTAAAGGGAATTGTTTTGAAAAGATCATAGATTCTTGATTCTTTCATATTTTTAAGTTAGACAAATTCTGCCAAAAAAAAAACTATGACATGACATTTTTTTATAAATAAATGTTCTTAATCATTTGATTCAAACTTATTTCCTAATATTTTATTCTTACAAGAATTTGTGGCCGATTAGAGATGGAATTTGTTATTGATTTTATTTCACTCTAGGATTTTGATGATTGGCCATTCTAATCCCCTTCCACCTACTTTAACTCATATGGACAAGATCCAAAACGGTCATATCAGCAATAATGAAAGTTAGCTAGAGCACAATCCAAAGTCGAACTTAATTTCATTTTTTCATGTGACATAGTTTGTTTGTTTGTTTGTTTTTTTTTTTCATTTGTTTCTTCTTTTAATTTGTTAAGCATTCTTTTCCTTGTTATTTGTCTATATTTCTTGTATAAACAAAAAATTAGCTTTCTTCCCTCTGCATCACATGGTGAGGAGGAGTGGGGGATCTGTTTATTTTAAAACTTTTCAGATAATTTAGAATACCAAGGTATTTGTGTGCTTCTCATCCCTTTGAAAACATTTCACTTGATCACACAGAGATGCCACCAGTTGCTGATGGAAGACTATTATAGACCTGTCCATGGCACTTACACTACAGCCATTGAACAGTGAGGGAACTTTTTGTGCCATCACTTACTGAAACACAGGACTGGTCTCCATATCCTGTATTGGGGTCACCTTCTTACTCTGTAACTCTAGAGTGTAACTCTCTCTCTAACCACTGCGCCATGTTGGCAAAGTTGTATCATGAGCTTGATGTTTTAACCTAAGCGCTGGGTATTGGCTAGAGATATCATATTGCAATATTTTTAAATGTACTGCAATATGTATTGCAATATTTTCAACAAAATTTAATGGTATTTTCTTATTATATTAACTTCCTCTTACATGTAGAATGTACATAACTATGATAAATAACCAATAAAAGATATCTTGTTGATAGAATTACAGTTATGCTACTAAATACACCCATACAACAACTTTTGTCTTACCGTTTGGCAATGTTTGACAACTTTTCTTTATATTTTATGATAGAATTCCTTAGTCCAAGCATTTTGCTGGGATATCAGTATTACAAAAACATATTGCAATATGATATTTTTTGTCAACATACTGCAATATACCTGAATATCGGTATTATTGTCCAGTCCTAACCTTTTAATTGGAATATGCCTCTATTCACTTTATTTAAAGTCCAATACAGAATCCATTACAGTAATTATTATTTTGTAATTAAATCAAACTGTGGAATGTCCACATTCCATCTTTAGGTGTTTCATAATTTTGATTGACCATCTTTTGGGTTCACACTACAAGTTAACATTTTTACATATAGTTTTCATACTGTTTAACGCTTTGGAATGAATGAAATGCTTGGCCCTATACAGATATACAAACCTTGTACAACACACCATTTGACTTTCTTATACAGTTATTATACAGTGATTCTTGTACATGGTGCACTAGCTATAACAGGCCTTCAGTGCTCTCAATTTTACACCTTTTTTGTGTGAAAAATTTAGTCAAGCAAACAGTAAGACAGACTTATCTCTCAAGTTTCCAAATCTAGAAATGAGAACTAGCCAAGCAAAGAGAACAATACATGGTGAATCCATTGTGCTGGATGTCAGTAAAGTGCCAAGATACAAACTGAGGAAGAAACAAATGGATTCCCTTGTTTTTTATCCTGTTGTGATCTAGTTCCTTAATTTTTTTTTTTTTTTTGCTTGAAGACAGCTGACTGAAAATGATTAAGGTTGAAATTTACCTACCAGAAAATTAAAAATTCTCATGATATAAAAAAAATGCTGAAGACCTGAAATGCAAAAACACATGTACATGTAATTTAATCTTAGCTTTATTGCTGTATGGATTTCAAAATAATTTTCAAAATATTGTTAATTATGTTCATGATATGGTTTATATCATTGATTTGAGAACTTGAGGTCTGTGCAGTTTTTACCTTACAGGTGGCATAAGCTTACATTCCTGTAGTTTGTATTTCATTATTAAAGAGTTTGTTCTGTGTCAAATGAATGGCACTTGTAATAGAAGATTTCGAAAATGAAGAATTTATCCCCAGATGTTTTCTGAGGCAACCACTCTTGTCTAGAGAGTTCTGAAGTGTGGACATTTTCCTAAATGGTACTCTGGTTTAGGTTTCGTACTTGTGCCATAAAATTATGGATTTTTACTTGTATCACAGCAAGACAAATTTGTAAATCTGTAGTGCAAATGTTTGTATATGTTTTTTTTAAAAAATGTGGACTATTTTGGGGTGAAAATGTGAGCATGCTAGGCAATTGGGGTGTCAACCACTGCATGTCATTTGAAGAGTGCTAGAGATTCAGGTACTTGAGAATTTATTTGAAATGTTCATTGATTTATTTTTTTTTACTTGTAGAATGTACAGAGGGCAAAGTCAGAAGAGGGTAAGTTGTACTTTTATTCTTTTTAACTTCCAATTTTGTACAGAAAATTTGTAGATTTTTTTTTTTAAATGGTATTGCTGATGATTAATAATTAAAATTATCTCCCTTGAACATAGATATCATAGCATTTGTCTCCAATTAATTGATGAAAATGGTTATGTTAATATAAATGTCAAAGAAATTTTTTGGGAAGAAAAGCAGCTTTCAGAAAAGGTCCTACATTACAACAAAGAGTTCATTACTAGGATAGTATTCCCTTATGAGATCAGACACAGTCCTTGAAGGTAAGTTGGAAAGTTTTCAGGTGCTGAACTTCTACATTCAAAGTACATGTGCCTCAAATAATGGAAACTGCCACTTATGCAATGTGTCTGGTTGTCTAAGCCAAGATGAATATAGTTTTACATGAAGGAGATCGTGACAGAGTGGTACGTTTGCTGGATAAAACAAATATTTATCAGATATAAATGCCAGATACAATGCTCCTCTGCTGTCCGTCTAAACAACTGTGATGCTGATGTCTTCTAAAGATGTCTTCATTTTCTAAACAACCAAAATGTTGATGTGTTGTGAAGCAGCCTCTGCTCATTTTCAATATTTAATATTGGGAGCAGACTTAAAAAGCATGGGCTAAAGGAACACATGTTGTGGAATGTGTCGGAGAAAGGTAGGAAGGAGTTATCTCTCTTGGAGACCACATTATAGTGTTTGAATCATTAACCAGATAAATCGTTAAGAAATCTTAATTACATCATTAAGTCCAGTCTGGGTGAGTAATATCTCACCCATCAAGTGGAGATTCCTTTTAAAGTCAGGAAATCCCCACAGGGTAATGAGGGACATGAAACAAAAATGGTTTCTTCATGTAGATAAACAGGGTAGTCTGTGTCAATATTTAGTTTGTTCTGTGTCACTCTGATTAGAGAGAAAGTGGCTTTTTGTAGAGTTTTGGCATACCGAACACTGTCCTAAATAACCTAATCAGGAGTGCTTGTCATTTAGAGCTGGAATACACATTGGATGAGTGTTGTCTCAGTTTACCTAATTCAGAGACAAGTTGTTGGACATCTTTTCACAAACTCCATGTTTTCAAATCTTTAAGTACTATGTGACCTGATTTAAAAAAGCATAGTCATGTTGGTAATCGGACTTACAAATTAAATGTGATTAAAGTAGATTACAATCCGCGTAAATGAAGGACATAAATATTTACCTGACCTCTCCAAAGTTTTGTTCTTCTTCATTAAAGGGGATCCATATCTTATCCTTGCAGTACCTGCCTAGCATTTTCTGTAGGACACAGGACAGTTTACTTCTGAAATGCTACAGATCAAAGGAAGTGTAATAGGTTAAGACACCCGTGTTTACCTGCATGAGACATGCTACAGACATGATAACACAGGTTCAGGGATTTCAGAAGAAATATGATTATGCAGCATTAGATATTACCCCCTTGGTTGTGTATTTGGGATTACAGCTCACCAGTGTTTATGAATGACCTTGACCTCATAGTGACCTTTATATCAATTTTAATAGAAATCTTAAGCTTATCCCTATCCAATCCATAAACTGTATTGGATCTGCCTACAGAGGGACTGAAGTGTACTTGAGTAAATTTATTGCCAATAAGTTTAAAGATGTCCTAGAGGATTTATTTTGATGTTGTTAAGAAGGGTGAGTTCAAAACTGTGACATATTCCATCTAGCTTCAAACTTTTTGGAAATTGGCAAAAGTGAAATGGTTTTTTAGCTCACCTCAACGAAGTTGGGGGAGCTTATGTAATACCCTCGGCGTCGGCGTCCCAGGTTAAGGTTTTTGGAGCAGTTTTCTTTTCAAGTACTTCTATGGGCTATATTAGTCAGAGATGCATGGAGGATGCTTCTAGTATGTTTCATTGTACCAGTCAAGGATTCAGATGCTGCAATTTCAGCTAAAGAATGATGAGGATAACATACATTTTCCGGATGAGTGACTAGGTTAAGGTTTTTGGAGTAGATCTCATTTCCAAGTAACTATAAGCCCTATATTGACCAAACTTACATGGATGATACATCTAAGGATGCACACTACTGGACTTGCTTCGGATGCTGGATCTGACCTATATTTTCCGGATGAGTGACCAGGTTAAAGTTTTTGGAGCAGATCTCATTTCCAAGTAACTAAAAGCCCTATATTGACCAAACTTGTATGGATGATACATTTAAGGATGCACACTACTGGACTTGCTTCGGATGCTGAATCTGACTTATATTTTCCAGATGAGTGACCAGGTTAAAGTTTTTGGAGCAGATGTCATTTCCAAGTATCTATAAACCCTATATTGACCAAACTTGCATGGATGATACATCTAAGGATGCACACTACTGGACTTGCTTTGGATGCTGGATCTGACCTATATTTTCCGGATGAGTGACCAGGTTAAGGTTTTTGGAGTAGATCTCATTTCCAAGTAACTATAAGCCCTATATTGACCAAACTTGCATGGATGATACATCTAAGGATGCACACTACTGGACTTGCTTCGGATGCTGAATCTGACCTATATTTTCCAGATGAGTGACCAGGTTAAAGTTTTTGGAGCAGATGTCATTTCCAAGTATCTATAAACCCTATATTGACTAAACTTGCATGGATAATACATCTAAGGATGCACACTACTGGACTTGCTTCGGATGCTGGATCTGACCTATATTTTCCGGATGAGTGACAAGGGTAAGGTTTTTGGAGCAGATCTCATTTCCAAGTAACTAAAAGCCCTATATTGACCAAACTTGCATGGATGATACATCTAAGGATGCACACTACTGGACTTGCTTCGGATGCTGAATCTGACCTATATTTTCCAGATGAGTGACCAGGTTAAAGTTTTTGGAGCAGATGTCATTTCCAAGTATCTATAAACCCTATATTGACCAAACTTGCATGGATGATACATCTAAGGATGCACACTACTGGACTTGCTTCGGATGCTGGATCTGACCTATATTTTCTGGATGAGTAACCAGATTAAAGTTTTTGGAGCAGATCTCATTTCCAAGTAACTATAAGGCCTATCTGAACCAAACTTGCATGGATGATGCATCAAGGGACGAACAATCTCAAAACTTGCTTCGGATGCTGGATTTGACTTACATTTTCTGGATGAGTGACTAGTTTTAAGTTTTCAGATTAGTCTATTCCCAAGTAACTGCAAGTCCTATCAGACCAAAATTGCATAAATGTTGCATCTAGGGATCACACTCCTAGATTATCAGTTTAGTATGGGACTTTGCCTTACTTAAAGACAACATTTGTTGAGGTGAGCTCTGTAATCTCTGATTACCTATGTTTGTATATAGGGGAAGGGGGAAAACAATTTAAGTTCAAGTGAAGAGTATTGCCACTATGTAATTAAAAAAGTAAATATCATTTAAAATGAAAAAAGTGGGATAAGTTGCTATGTAATCAGCATGTATTAAGTAATGAGAGAGAGTGAAATGTCTTTCAGAGGAAGCCTTTGTTCTGGGAAGTGGTTTTAGTTGGATTTGTAGATAAAATGTTTCCTGCATGAACAGCAATGACTATAAAACCAGTTAGCTGTTTCATCTTTTAATCAGACTAGTGATAACCTGAAGATAAGAAATCATAGGTTTCATATAAGATGAAGGAGATTACACATAGACAATAGCCGACCATTGCAGGAAGTAGATTATCTGAAAGTTAAGGGGAGATTACCCAGTCAGAGTATGAAGTTGTATTGTTTTATGACATTTGTGGCAGTTTTATGCTATGTGCATTTTTTAAAGATAATTAATGTATGAAACATTTAATCAGACCCTACCACATTGACTCTTGTTTCATAGGGTTGGCACAGCCTGTCTCTTTAACTTTGCCATTAATTTCAATACTAACATTGATACTACCTTATATCATTTAATTCACAAAGGCTCTTTAGCTTTAGATTTTAGATTCCTTTAATGTACTTCAAAAGGGAATAAATGAAAGAAAACTACTTTATAAATTTTGTTTTTACAACCAGAGTTTGAAATTTTGCAATATTCATATATGCATGTTGCTTCACCTTAGTGATATGGCTTTCATATTTTGCTTTGTCATTTAGTCATCAACTTAAAATTCTTAATTTTGAAAAAATATTTAGACTGTGTTTCATACTCAGGACTTGTTATAACCAAGGGGGATCACATTCTTAGATACACTACTTAATGGCTGTTGCATAAGAAACCAAACAGTGGGATATTCCTTTCTCAGGCAGGTGGTCATGTTGACAGTTTTTCTTTGTTAATAATCCAAATTATACTTGTAGCAAATATTTGAGGGAAAAGCACCTATAAAGTCAATAAAATTGAGATTCAACTTGACCTGCAGTTGCTTTTCAAGCATTTCGACATTTATTGAGTGAAGTATTCCTTATGTAATAACGTGGATTATATCAGATTTACTCAAAGTCTCAAGTGCATCGGCCAGCAATTCTTAACTTTCTGGAGGTATCTTTATTCTGAGTTTAATGTTTCAGAGTACTTTGGGCATCTATTTTATATACCATAAATCTGATATACTGCTTTCAAATGATAACTACAGATTATTTGCAATAAGAACTACAGATCATTTGCACCCCCCCCCCCCCTTGTTTAGTAAATTGCTGGCTCTCTATGATATTACCAAATAAATGTGCTTTAAAGCTGGTGCTTGGTTTACAATTTGTTACAATTTTCCATCAATTAAGTACAAAGTTTGGTGAAATTCTGTTCTAGTTGAGTGATTTTTATTTGATGTACGATTTGCATTTTCTTTGCCTTTGAAAGCATAATTTGTATACAAACAAAGGCAATATTTACATACATAGAAGAGGCCCCAGAAAGTTCAACATTGCAGCAAACACCTGTCATAAATGGCCTCTCTCCTCTCATACTGTTATGTATGTAGATAGCATAATTAACCCTATAAACACCAAAAAGAACGTGTTATTTTCAGAAGCCTCTCTGATACATTTGTCTGATTC